CGCATGGCTGCTGTGTCTCTAAAGCCTGTTCACCTCTGCCCCCTAAGCTGCTCGAGCCATCTTCCCACCAACAAGCCTATGCTCAGGACCACATCCCTGCTCCCTACCGGCCCCAAAGCTTGCTTGGCCTTAAGATATCTTGCCCGCCCACAACACGGCCGGTACTTCAAAGGGCTGTCCGTAAGACGTTGAAAGTGAACAACCGAATTACTCCCATCTGATCTTGCACGCCCACCACCAATCTGCACTTGCAGCCCTCTACCCTCAACACAACTCTATGGGACTGAAGCCCTTGCATTGAATACCCCGCGATGAAGCCGCGACCTTCATAAAGCCGCGAAGTGTGTGAGATGATATTCTGTCACCAAAGGAATTGGACCAAGAAAAACTCACACATATGCGAATGTCGCATGGCTATAGATATGCAACAACTTGCAATCGGTTTGCGCGGAGGGCGGATCTCAACCTGTCGATCTCAATGGCATCGTTGCGTGGCAGCGTGGTCTTGAGAGATGACGACTGCGCATGAACTGTTGAGTGCGAATGCAACGAGTGAAGTGCACAAGTGTGATGGGAGGATGTGCATGCTGGTTGGTAACGTGCCCAGGTCCCCAAGAAGAGTGTCGCCGGGCTGGGAACCACGACTGCCGTGCTGCAAACTGTGCTGCTTACGATGTATGCAATTTTTTTCAAATTCGAGAAAATGGGCAAGGCCATCGCAGTGACCTTCGTGGCCATCTTCAAAACGATCATCAAAACTATCATTCAGATGTCAGCCCATCTTCACGCTATCCTGGTATCTGGCGTATGTTGCTGGTGTACATTGGTGCGCACTTTAGCACACTACATCGCTCCTCAGCTTCTTATTATTCTTCAATCGACGATTTTATCACTAAATACAACCACGGATGATTGCAAAGTATAAGACACTCTTGAGCTCTTTTGTGGCGGGCCGTGATTATGCATGTTTCCAAACCCCATATTCCGTACTTATTCATTTACTTTTGTGTGCCTCTTTGTGCTTGCTAGCTAGTACTCGCAGTATAATTATGCACCATGCATGGTCTCACATATATTAATGAAGTATAAGGCTTTGTAAATCCAGATATGATGAAAATCTACATATTGAATGATTTGTTGAAACATCTAGCCACGGCCCTGCGAAAGTATAAAGGAAGATGTTTCAACGCTCACTTATCATATCGATGTGATACCTCACGGTCATCACTCAAACATGCACGCTTCAAAACTTATGCAACAATAATACTAATGCCTTCTCACTGGCCCCTTGTTCGTCTGAACGCATTTTCTCCGGTGTGTCTACTTCTCGATTTTCAGTATGAGTGTGATGTGCTTGGTGGCGCAATCCCCTGGGAACAACCTGCAGATCCTGCTTGTGCGCTCCAAGCTTGTTGACGCCATGTGCACGCGTGTATCTCAACATCACCGGTCGACATGCTGTGTATGTGCAAACGACTCAGTTTGCCTGCTTCCACGATGTAATACGTAAAGCCGAGGTGTCGGCTGCTTGCCATCGGAGAACTGTCTCAATGCATGCCGGCTGTTGGTTGGTGCAGGGTGCAGCATCTAAGAATACATCGAGGAATCGCTTCAGAGACTCGCAAGGCGTTCCCTCTCCGACGGATCTTAGCGGACTCGGCTTTCTCCTCCAAGCGAACATGCAGCATGTTGCATACTGTTTAATAGCAGTGTTGTGGCTCATCATTGCCTGGATGCTGCTCACATATGCCATGATTATGGGAGACATGATGAGCACCGAGGCCCAGAACCAGTTCTTTGCCATGTGGGCGATATCGTTTGGCTTAGGCCTGTTTGGGGCGGAGACTATCCAAATCATTCTCATCCAGACCTTTGCCAACATCGTCGGCGAAAGAATTCACAGTGCGCCCCTAACTCGAATCTCAGCAGTGCAAATCTGGCTTGCCACGTGTGCGGTTTCACACATGTGATGCGCTTCACATACACACAGCGCTGCCTGTCCACTGTCCGGATTGAAGGAGGGACTTCGCAAGGTGCATCTCCGAAATTGCATCTTGTACATATTGAATATGCTGCATAATTTATCAAGATACCTCGGGGGCACTGTTGTGAGAATCGAATTCGGGTGTATGCATCTATTTTACATGCATTGTGGCAAGGAGACAGTACAATCATACAGAAGGCACCGCTCTGAGGGAGTCACGATTAACAGATAAGCATGGTGCACTTCAATCAAGGTTGGGCTTGCGCAGAGTCCTCTTGTGCAAGGTATTTTCAAGCGGTCCGTTAACGGGACCGTTGACTACGTGTATGAGCATCCTGGATGCATATCCAATACAAAAGTGAACGTCACTTATCCTGATTGTGGTAGATGTCATACCGTTACTTTCTTGATACAAGTGACTTCCAGGTAGTCTACCTGCACGTAGTCAACGGGTCTGTCGACCGCTTGAACATTCTTTGCATGAAGGAAGGACGCCGAGCAAGCCATGCCTCGACTCACTCTCCCTTAATCATCTTTCCAGCCAGTGAGTCGGGTCCTTCGCCGAAGACATCTCGGAAATCTCAAGTTTCTTGCCAATCCAGTAGATTTTCCAATGATGTGGCAGCAGGATCGTCCGATGATGGCATACGGTTCCAGGCCATGATAGTGCATTGGGCATACATTGTGGCAGTGTCTGAGAGAAACTGCGTCCTCAGGTCATTATTGCTGCGAATGCAGCTAACAGGGCGTGCCGTGTTACGCTTAATAAGCTGTATGTTAGTTGTTAGATAGCTCTTGGGGCTCCAAATGGTCTGCTTCAAACTGGGATATATATATATATATCCGGACTGGCATGTTGGTCTCTACGAAGGGTGGAAGAGGGTCTGTGGCATTACGTGGTTGGTGGGATTCCGGTGCCATATGATAATGCAGTGCTATTTGCGGATATTGATCCCTCCATGCTATGGTTTGAGAAGTTTGTCATTGCAAAGATGTCATCAGACGACGTGGAAGTGGTGAGTCGAGCACCTTCTTCTTGCATCCTCACTGTACTCATTTATTTCCCACGATGACATTAAACATATATACAGTAGCATACATATGATCATTCTATATGTACTGTAGCTGTAACAGCGCATAGGATGTATACGAACATCGTCTTGACATGTGGGAGGTTGCTATAGTAACGAACACGCACACACACATATATGCAATTGTATATACACAACCTCTATATGTTATGGTATGAGCGCGCCGCACGCGTAAGCGTGTTTCAACACGCATATGCACGCTGTCACTCGTACAAGCGCGCGCCCAATGGCGCGCTTGTACTGGTACAAACACGCACATCTGTGTTTGCCCTTATACTATAACATGCATAAAGTATATACTCCACCGGTGACTGCAGAAGTTATGGAACATGTGCGGGAACGGCACAACGGCCTTTCTTTAGGACTTTTTTTGTTGACCCCTTCCTCCAAATTTCACAATCGATCGATAGCGGAACGCGAACGTCCTGACCCCGGCCATGGCAGCCCCATTCCGCCTTGATGCGCCATTACCTTGGTGACAAAGTTTGACTGTATGCATCTCCTTCATCATTTCATAAAGGCTGCTACACCAATTTGGTATATTGTCGTTAGTCTGGATCATTGATACAGACGCTGGCCATGCAAAACTGCCAAATGAATGCGTAGTACACCATTACCTCGCTCCCCCGGCGTGTGGGACTGGCACTTGCAATTTTGTGTGTCACTCCTCAAACCCGATTTTCTTTTCTGTTGTGCCTGATATGAAGTTTGTGCATGGTGTGGCGGCCTATTTTCCATCAGGACGACGAGCACCAAAATGATGATGGTGCAGGAGATCAAGACATGGGGGATGATGCGGATGCCTTTGGAGGCATTCAAATCCACTGCAATAGTGATGCTGCTGCGAGTGGCAGCTAGTGAGGCTCCCTGTGTGGCAATTTGATCTCACATTCGCCATAATCATGGGGTTTAAGGTTTGAGAATGGACCCGGATTACGCAAAAATTATGTAAAATGATTCAACTTAGTCCATTTTGATGTCATATATCACGCATCTCGATCCGTTTATCATACATATAATTAATTGTAGTCAATAAACTCTTGGGGAATTGATGTTCGATATCTCCACGGCATCAAACGATGCACGATACATGCTACTGGAGTCAAGTAAAATAATCGCCATTGGGTCACAGAGTAAATGCCAGGCTCCCTATGAAATGCATGGCTCACGAAAATTAAGCCGAACAGATACCGATTCGCAACCGAGTTGCTGAGTAATATCGACGCTCATCGCTAAGCTTACGCGGATTAAAACGTTCAATACGAATCCGCGATCTAATAGGTATTTTACGAAGGGCATCAGCGTCGTTTTTCTGTCACGGGAAACCGTAACGCAAGCAGGTGCTCGCGCAAAAACTGATGAGCATCGCAAAAGAAAGCGCGCATCTCGGTACGCGCTAAGCGACTGGCGGCTGCTACGTTGGCGAAGCGACTGAGAACCAACATGATTCAGTGTTGCCTTCTTATTGGGCTTAAGTCAACAACGAGTTCGTCTAAGATTCACAGCACCGACGGTTTGTCACAGACAGTATCACAGTCCGTAGCTATCAGCACTGTCAGCTGCCGTATCGTTCTGCGACACTACAGACACTCATTCAAAAGTCTAACTTGTTCAGTCACGCACCAGGTATACCGAAACCGTCACCACAGTCTGTGTGATCCCTTTCGTTGTATATTCTAATTACACTCTGGCTTACCACAAAGCGACTGGCATGTGCCAAGCAACAGAGGCATCCGATGTTACACGGACCGCGACTTACATGCACACCGGGCGATACCACCGGCATACATACGCGACGCGTTACCTGGCGCGGGCAGGGCATGCAAGACTACAATGGCGATTCACGCTGGTCGATAGATTCCATAAATGGTAGTGACGAATCCACTGTACAAGTCAGGTTGATCCTTTCAAATGCCAGGGGGAAATGCCCCCGCGCGGCAGGATTTGAACCTGCGACGCATCGCTCTCTATCCTAGTGCGACCGCTCTACGCCACTGAGCTACAGGAGCAACTTGATGCTTCGAAGCGTATGTAGTGGCAGTCTTGTACAGTGTCCGCGGAATCGAATGGCGCGATGACGTGTGCGGCATCGACTTCACCATCGATGGTATGACGCGCGATTGCATTATGCGACGCGCGACCGCCCGCATTATGATTCGCTGCCGATTTATTCTATAATCTATGATGATGACCATCCGTGCGTCGCGAGCCTCGAAGACTGATGTTATTCCGTAATGGAAATAATGGAGGAGAACTTAATTACACTCTGGCTTACCACAAAGAGACTGGCATGTGCCAAGCAACAGAGGCATCCGATATTACACGGACCGCGACTTACATGCACACCGGGCGATACCACCGGCATACATACGCGACGCTTTACCTGGCGCGGGCAGGGCATGCAAGACTACAATGGCGATTCACGCTGGTCGATAGATTCCATAAATGGTTGTGACGAATCCACTGTACAAGGCAGTTGTTTTTGTATAATGATAGAGATGCGCCCTCGCTGGATAGGGCTTCAGCAAATCACGAAATAGAATTATACAACGTGACATAAATGGTACATGTATGATGGGCATCCCAGCACGGTATACTAAGAACAGTCGTCGAAAAGTCTTATATCTGACTATATTGAGTTCCATTTCTTCTTCCTCCCTGATGTAAATCATCGTAACGCCGCTTGGGTGCACGTTGTTTATGCGGAACCCAATCAGACATTATAAATATACAGGCGATGAGTGCCACAGACAAGATGCTAAAAAGTGTGCCGCGATATATGCCAGCGCGTATGGATGGCATAAGTATAATAAATAATTTCCAGAGGGTTAACAGTGCCAGTCACGTCTTGTTGGTATAAATATACACATAAACATGAAGACGTTATACTGTAAAGTGAACACTGCTAAGTCTGGAGCTAATCGAGCTTGCATACGCACAGGTTCTGCTACGGTTTGCATAGCAACATTCTAGTTTCCGCCCGGTGAGACGTATACCTGCGCGTGGCTGTATGCAAGGAGTTGTGGTGCAGAATGAGAGCAAAACACGGTCGATGTGAAACAAATACAGATGTGTCAATCTCACAAGCGTCAGCAACGCTCGGATTGATCATATGATTAAAATCGCTCGGACAGATCATATAATTAAAATCTGGAGGCGAGGATGAAAAAGTATTACCCTCAAACCCGTAAGACTGAATATCCGAGTCATCATCGACATCTATATCCTTCGTGTATAAATGCTCAAAAATGAAATGATGTAATATATCCACCCTGTTAGTAAATCAGGGGATATTAGTATTTCCCCTCTCCCACCCCCTTCAATAAGGGACCTATTTGCTGCACCCACGTACGGCATACATCTTGTCTAAATGCAATCGATACTCATGAGGAAGAAAATGAGTATAGGGAGAGGAAGAAGATACTAATAAATGTGCAAATGGAACTGAAATACTTTGAACAAATTATGCCAATCATGTAAATTGCAAGCAACAAGCAAGTGGACCACTGTACAAGTCAGGTTGCTCCTTTCAAATGCCAGGGGGAAATGCCCCCGCGCGGCAGGATTTGAACCTGCGACGCATCGCTCTCTATCCTAGTGTGACCGCTCTACGCCACTGAGCTACAGGAGCAACTTGATGCTTCGAAGCGTATGTAGTGGCAGTCTTGTACAGTGTCCGCGGAATCGAATGGCGCGATGACGTGTGCGGCATCGACTTCACCATCGATGGTATGACGCGCGATTGCATTATGCGACGCGCGACCGCCCGCATTATGATTCGCTGCCGATTTATTCTATAATCTATGATGATGACCATCCGTGCGTCGCGAGCCTCGAAGACTGATGTTATTCCGTAATGGAAATAACGGAGGGGAATTTAATTACACTTCGTTGTATATACTCTCACAGGACGGAACCACCACGCCCCCCTAATGTGTGGGAAGTTTATTTCGCGCAGCTGCTCGGCTGTGTGTGGCTAAGTTTCGACGTTTGAGATTGCGGAGGCGCCCGATGGTGTGAGTGGCCGGTTGCCATATGTGTGTGGCTTAATTCGTCCGCGCTTAATTAACATTATTGGTGTTCTTTAACGTAACATCATTCCGAGAGGCTATTATATCACTCTAAAAATAACATCACACCATATACCAATGTACTAATATGACACTATATATTAGATGCATCCAGGATCACCCAGACCGTCACAAACATGACGCTTATCCCGGCGGGACGGGGCCTACGAGACTTGTGGAATGCGGTACATCATCGTGTGACTAGCATATGATGCATGTGCGAGATGTATCGATCACTGCGTCAAAGTGCGCACCGTGCAGAAACGCAATCTTCAGCCCACGTCTCACACCGTTGCGGTATGATATATGCAGAATTTTTTCGAGAGGCTATCTCTCTACTACTCTAACACAAGGGAGCGTTGCATAGACTCGACAACCGCCGAGTGTTCTCATTATACGATATGCTTCAAATAATGCAGGAGAAATTATGCAGGAGACTTACGGCAATTACTACGTAATACGCAATACACACAAGGTTTGTTGCAATATGGCTGGAAGGCTGTATCACTATCATTCACTCTTATCTGTTACGAGTCTTCTGCATATGGCACTGTAGCGTTATATTCGTGCATAGCTGCTCGCTAGCCCTCAACCCTCAACTCGGTGACACGTTCATATTGTACTGTACAAGTGCAACTGTGCACGTTAGGCATCCCATTAATGTACAAGTGTAACTGTGCGCTCTATAGCTAGGCATCTCACATGTTATCATTGTATTCCAGTTCGCTCCTATATTGTCTTCCGTAATGAGAACCACCGTTTTGTACTTGTGGCTACTGCCCCGCAGTCCTTGTGGTAGGACCAAATCGACGATTTGGTCCTACCACGAGGACCATTGTTCCGATAATGTAATTGGCCATCTCCCGTGATTTGTGGTATCTAACCAATGAAAGGTGGTATATATAGGTCCTATATTAATTTATTTGAACGCTGGTTTGGCCTATATCCATCCCATATATCCATGACGAACGCATTTAAAACCTCTACACTCAAATTTTTCAAAACGGATTTTTTGGAACATTCAAAATGTGGCAAATTAGTGACTCATCTTCAATAATTTTTTACCAATCATATATCAACACTACACCTGCGCGGATACCATCAAATTGAACCTATGCTGGACTTCGGGTTTAGGCTTAGTTATTATGGGCTCTGACTAGCCCCTAGCCTGGCCCTGCTTCCGCATCGTGTCCGTGACATCCTAGCACTGTACTGTACAGTAGTACAGTACAGTAGTACAGTCTTGCTTCACTGTCTGGGTTTCCGAGAGCATAAAGCCTCGGCCAGACACTGTTTATGTGATTATCAGTTTGATGCTCAGCGAGCTTAGCCGGACAGCGGATCTGTCTTCCTCGCAGGTTATGGCCCGCACCGGCTTTCCGGTGATTCTGATGATGGCACAGCGCCTTGCTGTTGCCATGTTCGGCTAAGTAGGACGTAGGAGGGGTTGAGCGCCCACTTGGGCGGTGGTGTATCATTCTCGCGGTATGGCCTTTTGACATGGCAGTGATGGCGGCACGCGTTGTGCTCGCCTTCGCTGCGCAGGAGATCGGCAGTTGACGGATTGTTTTTTTACGGCAGTATCGTCGCAGCGAGGGTTTGTTTGCATCGTGCGCCACTGGCCCTGGCGAGGTCGCTCCACACATTGCACATTTTGGCCGCTCTCATTTTTCCGCTTACGACCTGTGGATTTCGATCTACTGTGCTGAGACTTCTACGGATTATCTGGCCGCCGTGACAGTTTTATACCACCACCCTTGCTTAGCTCAACCTTCCGCTGTCTCTCTATCATGGTTACCACAGCAAATAGAATGACGCGGTCACGCGTCCGTAGATTAGAGACGATTTTTGATGATGTGGGTGCGCAGCACACTGCGACGCCGCACACCCCGCAGCTGCCAGGTCCGTCCACCGCAGCTGCGAGGGAGGTTCTCGACAAATGTCAGCAGCTTGCTCGCGACAATTTTGACAGAAAGGTTGCGAAAATCGTTGCCACGAAAATTCTCGGAGACAAATCGGACCGCTTCGCTGGTACGGAGTCCGACGCGGTCGACATTTTTTCACAGATCATGCATGAGCTTCGGGCACAGTTCCTTCTCCAGTCGCAGGCACTTGCTCCCCTCTTTGACCTGACTGACATGACTGTTGCGGCTAGGCATGAGGGCAACGAGTTGCTGCTTTCGGCTTTGACGTTTCTGGCTCGACATGGCTCGCCTGCTCGTGACTGGCTTGAGGCCTCTGGGTCTGACGTTCCTGGAGATGGCAAGCGCGCTGCCCTTGAGGTGGTGCGCATGCTCCAGGAACGCTCAGAACCCTTTGACTCGCTGCTGGCGGTTCGCATCCCCAGCAGCGGAGATCCTGACCGTGACATCCGTGAGTTCAATGGCCTGTTGCGGGACGTTCAGCGTTCCCACAACTTGCCAGAGGACGCGGCGAAGCGGCAGTTTCTAAAGGCTCTCGGCAATTCGGCGTTGTACCGTGACTTGGCTAATTCATTGGCTCGAGCTGACCAGCGGCAGGGCGTGTCTCTCTTGACTATTCAGGCTCGTGTGCGGGAGCAGTTCCGCCACGGCCTGAAGGCCTCTGACACCCGTGTCTCTGCTCTGTCATTCGGCGATGGCGCGTCTGACCTGGCTGCGGCGTTGTCCAGTCTGCAGAAGCAGCTGGAGCGCATGCAGCAGGACATTCGTGACCTAAAGCGGCAGAAGCGGGAAGGGGCACCGCCTGCGGGCAAGCACCTTACCCGCTCTGCTGCTAAGCATCATCGTGCTGGTGTTAAGCCACTTGGCACCGCTCCTCCTGTCTCATTTGACAAGAAGAGCGGTGCCTTCGTGCCCCACTGCAGAAATGCGGAGTGTGCACAAAGTGGTTTGAAGCACTGGCATGCTGAATGCCCCAACGGCGGTCCTCACTCTGCCCACTATTGTGGTGCAGTTGAG